AGGCGGAGGAGGAGGAGGAGGAAGGAGGAGAGGAGCGGGAGGAGCAGGAGGAGCAGGAGGAGCAGGGAGGAGGAGGGAGGGGGAGGAGGAGGAGGAGGAGCAAGAGGAGGAGCAGGAGGAGGAGCAGGAGGAAGGAGCAGGAGGAGGGAGCAGGAGGAGGAGGAGGAACAGGAGGAGGAGGAACAGGAGGAGGAGGATGAGGAGGAGAGAGAGAGAGAAGGGAGGAGGAGCAGCTGGGAGGAGGAGGGAGGAGGGACTGAGAATATCAGCGTTAGCAGCAGATCAGTTTAGCAATTGTTGTCGCTTCGCGAATCCCCACCAGCCCATCCAGAAACGATGCCCAGAGGAATTGCCTCGATCAGAGAAGTGGGCAGCACACAGAGGAAGCCATTATGAGACATCTTGGGATATCTTGAGCCATCTTGGAGGTCATTTTGGGCTCTCCCAGACGCTCTTGGAGTCATCTTAATCCGTGCCCCCCCCCAAGAGGCCTCCATGTGGCTAAAACCTGTGTAGAATCAATGATTAGGCATTCTCGCCGAGGCCTCTTGGAGCATCTTGGGTGCATCTGGGGGGGCTCTTGGGGCCTCTTGGGGGTCTCTTGGGGGCCTCCGGGGGGCCTCTTGGGGGCCTCTTGGGGCCATTTTGGGGCCATCTTGGGACCTCTTGGGGCTTCCTGGGCGCTTCTTGGGGCCATCTTGGAGGAGATCGATCAAACAAGAGGGGGGGTTTAATTAGCGTCCCCCCTCGGAAGCCCCTAAAATCGCCTCTTGGACCCCTCTTGGAACGCTCTTGGAGTGCTCTTGGGCGCTCTTGGGGCCGTCTTGGGGCTCTTTTGGGGCTCTCTTGGGGCCCTCTTGGGCCATCTTGGAACCATCTCCAGGCCTCGGATGGCCATCGGAAGCGAAAAGGCGAGAAAGCAAAAATCATTGATTTTCCTTAGGTTTTGGGACGATTTTGGCCTCTTCGGGGCCTCCTTGGGGAGCTGTTTGGCCACTTGGAGTTATCTTGGGGCCGTCTTTGGGCTTCTTGGAACCATCTTAGGAGCCATCTCGAGCGATCTTGCGCTATCTTGAGCCATCTTGGAGCTCATCTTGGGTTCTCTGAGGCGCTCTTGGAGCCGTCTTGGGCCATCTGGGACGCTCTAACTACCAGCGGCCCCCCCCGTCCAGGTCCAGGGGAGGGGGTAGGGGGAGGGGTAAACCCCTCCCCAAGGGGGAAGAGGGAGGGGTGGAAGAGGATCTGTTCTAGACCACCTACGCCCAGAGGGCTGGTGGGATTCAGAGGATCAGTAAATGATCAAGTGAAGTATCTGTTCCGTACGCATCAGGGCTCAGGGTTTGCGCAGTTCAAGACTAAACATCTCAGTTTGGTAGCGGAGCTGGAGTTCAGCTCCAGCTCCAGCCTGCCCCCATCTCGGACAGGGCTCGGGCGCGCGATAGCGTGCCTGCCGCGCGCCGCCAGGCGCGACCCTTCGTCACGACGAAGAAGTACAACACCGGGCTGAACTTCGGCCCGCTGCGGATCTTCAAGAAGATCTGTTCGATCTACCTGTTTGTTACGTTCTTCCTCACACACTTCAGCGACGCCTGTGGTGTCTCCTTCTACTCCTACTCCCAGGACTACGAGACGATGGCGACAGGTGGTGGTGCAGACTGGAAGCTCCCGAATTCACTTCCTGAGTTCACCAGATATGTTCTTCCCGGCTGGAAGCCGGGCATGCCAGACTACACGTTCAAGCACTTCCTCGAACGTCTTCATCTCTGGTGGCGTATCACGCCCACTACTGAAGAAGAGGCCGGCCCGCTCGTTGCAAGTCGGCTTCTCGACAAGGCGTTCGAGGTGGCCATGAGCTTGAAGGTGACTCGCAACGGCGTGGCCATCAGTGGCGATGCGGCTCTGGCCCTCGGCAAGGAAGATGCAGTGCTGGACCCCGCTGGAGCAGAGCTGCACCCTGCCAGTCCAGCGGGAATTGGTCACCTCATCGCGAAGCTCACGGATGCGTTCGAGATTCACGATCAGGACAGGCAGGGTGAGATCCTGGACAAGTTCTGGGACACACGACGCGGATCCTCCTCACTGCAAGACTACCTCCTCAACTTCAAGCAGAGGTTCCAGGAGGCGGAGAGCAAAGCAGGATTGCAGTTGAACTCGACAGGCCTCACGCACCTCCTATTCAAGTGGAGCGGCCTTCCGGCCAGAAGAATTGCAGATATCAAGCTTCATCACAATGGAGACCTTACGAAGTTCAACGAGATCTACAGTATGACCAGTCGGATCGCCAAACAGGAAATGGCAGCAGGCGGTGGACATCACACAGGACACTACGGAGCGTTTGAAGATATGGAGCTGAACGATGATGACTACAATCTTTCTTTCTATCAAGACGAAGATCAAGAAGAATATATCGACTTTCTAATCGACGAAGACACGGACCTTCATTATCGAGAATATGCGACGGAACATGGAGAATGGCGATATGGCGCCTATGACAGCTACTGGAATTGGTATGACCAAGATGAGATCGAACAATATCTCGACGAGCTTGACCTCGAAGAAGCATATCAGATGAGCGGCTTCAGACCAAAGTGGCGATGGAATGGACGACGAAAAGGAAAAGGAAAAGGACGCTTTCGCAGCAGAGGACGAGGTCGAGGCTACAGTAAAGGTCGAGGACGTGGACGAAAAGGCAAGGACGTGATGATGATAAGCGCTTCTCGTCGGACACTTTGTATGGCGGTAAGAAAGGATATGGCAAAACAAAGAGCAAGACGGACAGCAACGGCTGCAGTGTCTGTGGCTCTAAGTGGCATCGCGATCAAGATTGTCCAGTTGGCCTTCGTGACCGCAAAGGAGACAGCGGCGGCAAAACGGGAGCGGGTCTCACACATACGTGGCATCACAACTTCAGTGGACATTATGAGGACCAGTATGATGGCGACCTTCCCGATATTGCTCTCGCAGTTGGACATTCCACAGAGACCACGAAGCAGCCCAACTGGGACTTCAACGCCAGGACGGAGCAGGACTACGAAGACGGTGGCCTGTACGATGACGACGAGTACGAGAGGAGGCCGAGGAAAGGAAAAGGACGCGGAAAAGGAAAAAGAGGCAACAACGACGGCAACAGAGACGATCATAACTCCTTCTCATCCTCATCCACAGGTTCCTGGAGGCCTAAGTCCAATGCCGGACAGCCACTGTGGATGGCTGGCAACTTTGATGCGATTTCGGAAGACAGTCCCTCGACAGGATCTTGGAGCGTGCTTTCCTCAGCGACATCTCCTCCTCCTGGTACGCGGGATCAGGCTGATGACGGACCTCCTGTTCAGAAAACAAGCTTCAGCGACATGGTGAAGCCGATGAGCACCAAGACGAACATGAACAATGGCAGCATCAGCGGCATCAGCAGCTCATCACAGCTCTCACCAGGATCATCAGCCTTCCAGCTTCCAGAGAAGCCGGTCAGAGCTCAGACGGACACCTCCTGGCAGCACGACACGGATAACGATGTGACCCACTCGGGTGTCAACAAAGGTTCTCTCTATCTGACTTCTGGAAGCCGCATGCCAGCCTCTTTGCGATCAACAACGCGTGCTACCCGGCATCGAGGGCAAAGGACGAGGAGATGATACTCATGACCAGCGTCCGAGGAAAGCAGCGTCTCGGTCTGATCGTGGACCCGGGCGCGTCGAAAGGCCTGGGCGGTACCGAGACAGTACGAGAAATATGCGATCACTTGTTGTGGCCAAAAGGTCAAGATATCACACTGAAGGACTCGCACTCGAAGTTGTCAGGTATCGATGGCAAGCCCAGTCCCTCGCTCGGCCTCGGCACGATTCCGCTCAACTTGAAGGCATTGCCCAGGAGCTCGTTCACCATGGATCTCCTGGGAGGTTCAGGCTCGAAATGCCCGTGCCTTCTTCCGAACGAGTCGATCATCGAGCACGCCGGGTCCATGTGCGCCAACGTTCTGCCGAACAAAGATGGAGTTCTGGTTATCAATCATATCGGAGCTATGGGCAGAAAGGTTGCACCTACCTCGTTCCTGCGTATCTTGCACACGGACTCGGGCCACTATCTTCTGCCTATCGACGACCCTCTTGCCAATACCGGCGAAGAAGCGACAATATTGCGACAAGCGGTAAAGGACTACATGGAGTTCATCTTCGACACCAACATGACCACCAAGACTGGCGTCAACACCGCTCTGCACTCGAGTCATCCTGGAGCAGTGCTTGGCGAGGACGCAGCTCGGACTTGCCACGGGTCGGGACCCCCTGCAGCGTGCGCCTCGAGCGCTGTAGGGTCGTCGTCGCCACACTTGTCGTCACCGCAGTTGCTCGGACATTCCGAAACGGCTCGGAAGGACGCAGCTCGAACCCAGGATGGGCGCAGTGAGACGGCAACACAGACGAGTGACATCCAGTCGACCTTCAACAGCAGCACTTCAGAAAGTGGAATGAGACTGAGAGAATATCAAGCAGATAATGCAGATCTACATGGAGGTCGACCTCGTCATGCTGCCGGAGTTGGTTCGAAGAGCACGCCTCAGCAGATACGTCAAATGTTGTACAAACGGTGGAACACATTCAACGGAGACAAGTGGACTGGAGCAAATCAGTGGCCTTCTGCTTGTGACCGTGACAATGTCAGTCTTCTGGAAAAGAAGTACAAGGCAATGCCCGAAGAATTTTATCATCAGACTCAACTGCCTATCATTACACCGCACAATGCCATGCTCTGGGTCGACCACATGAAGGGCTTCAAGCTACATCTTCAAGAGCGTATGTCAGGAAGTGGTCGTCTTTCTCTCAGATGCATGCGGCTCGGCTTGCAGGTGGCTTTTCCAGTGGATTATCGATACGGATGGAACTTAGCGGATGCCGATCATCAGAATCTCCTCACTGCCGTAAGGAGGACATTAGGCATCAAGACCTCTTGGTGGGCTCCTACCTGTACACCATGGTCTCAGGCTTCAAAGGGCGATGCTGACAAGCGCGAAGCTGAACGACAGACCCAGAAAGCTACACTAGACTGGTGTGTTGGTGATATTCAGACAGGTCAGCGACGCGGAGAACACTCAGCACTGGAGAACCCCAACGCCAGCGAGATCTGGGACAAGTCGGTGCTTCAGGCACTACCGGGTCTCGGCCTGCGATCGTACGTGGGACATCACTGCCCCTTTGGAGCCGCGAATGAGATTGGTGAACCCATTCGCAAGCGGACGCGGTATATGAGCACCTTCGGCCTTCGCGGAGTCGCCCGACACTGTAAATGCAAAGTTCCACATGGGCAGTTGGTCGGACACGCTGATGGAGTACACCGGACAGCTCGAGCGGCGGTCTACCCCAAATTGTTGTGCGACGCAATCGGCAAGGACATCATGAAGCTCATCGAACAGGTCACTACAGAGTATCACGCGACGCCTGATGATGACAAAGATGACGTCACAACATATTGGGCGTGTCCGAGGTGCAAGCACGGCAAACAGACCACGGAACCGCACAGCAGGATTCAAGGACAGTGCAAGATGGCTGGCGCAACTCCTCGACCTGCTCCTCCTACGCCTTCGGCGGCAGCAGCACCGGCTGCAGTCGAGAGGGCAGCTCAGGCGGAAGAGTCTGAGGACGAACCTCCAGTTGCAATGCCTGAAGAACCTCCTGACGAAGCAGAACCAGAAGTCAAGCCCCTGCAGGAGGTTGCATTGGAGCCAGTCACTACCAGCAACGTGGACCAGGCACCGGCGATCGCGCCGGAGAAGTCAGCCTCAGCTTCTGCGTCTCCTTCAGCCTCGGTGGAGCCAAGGATCGCGAAGAAGGAATGGTATGACGTCAAGCCCAGCTTCAACCTTGCGAACCTCTTGAAGAAACTGAAGGAAGCAGAGGCAAACAAAGACAGGAAGGAGTGCATACGCTGTCTTCTTGGACTACATGTTCGTTTTTGGCATGCATCGGTTCCAGATATGGCCATACTGCTAAAACAAGGAGACTGCTGGACACCATTCCTGGCCAAGATACTTGTCCTCATCCCGAAGCGTGCAAGGACTGCCGGGACTTCATGCCTCCAGCCACGAAGCCTCAAGTCGGCATCACAATGGCAGTACGCTTCAACCAGCGGATCCAGATGGACCTATGCTTCCAATGGGATGAGTGTTTCATCCTCGTCATCGATGAGTTCAGCAAGTACAAGGTCGCCGACTTCCTCAAGGACAGGACCGTTGAGGAGATCCTCTCGACGGTGCTTCGTTGCTGGATCAGGTACTTCGGGCCGCCGATCAGACTCATCTTGGACCAGGAGGGCGGCATGGTTTCTGAATTGGCATCGCGCATGTGTGACAAATTTCACATCAGACGTTCCTTCGCTGGCACCGATGATCATACCATGACGGGCCTGGTGGAACGAAGGATTTCTCTCATCAGGCTATGCTCACTCAAGTTGAAGAAAAGCGCTCAGGCCCAGGGCCTGCAGGTAACGAATGCAGATATCATCCAGGAGGCGGCCATGGTCTCGAACTCGCTCGTATCTTACGGAGGCCAGACGGCGAATCAGGCGGTGCTGGGATTCACTCCTCGCGACTACTACGACATGGAGGCCACTACCTTGGACTCCGTGACGCCGGCCGTGGACAGCTGTCCGGACCCCTTCGAGTCGGCACTTCGATTACGAATGCAGGCCAAGATTGCCATGGCCAAGAGCTTGGTCGAAGAGCGCATCGCAAGATGCAACCGGACTCGGCAGCAGCAGACACCTCCTGGACAGCGACTTCAGCCTGGCGAACCTGTTGACATCTATCGTGCGCCAGAACGCAAGGATCAGTCAGGATGGAGAGGACCAGCGGAACTTGTCAAACTTTCTCAGGGAACTGGCATAGTGGTCTGGAACGGTATTCCCTACATTCTGCCCACGAGGCACATCAGACGACACGCCATCAACCTGGAAAAAATACCAATCGGCGACGGCAATCACTATGCATATTTACTACAGGACACGACGGACAGCTCTAACCTCACCAAGCTCATGGACCTCGTCGACGGCACAGCCTACGGCCAGTACACCAGGATCGGAAAAATCTTCGACGGCAGTTCCATGACTTGCTCACCTTCGGTATCTCAGTTACGACTGGTCAAGCACTGGTGCCTGTGTCTTCAGATATACCAGCGAGTTTTCCATTTGAAGAGCGTGGACGGCCTGTTGTACGGTACATCGGTCAGACGCATTCCGGCACTGGATCGGATGCGTCATGGATTGCTCGTCACTTGGCCTCGTTCGAATAAGACGAAATACTTGGCACAGGAAGTACGACCAGACAAAGGAATAAACATCACGGACTTTTCGAGCGACGCCTGGGATGTTACTTCTTTCTTCCTTATGTATCGGACTGAGTTGCCGGTGAACCCCTTTCTCGACGATGACGAGATACCAGACACGGACGATCTCGGCAACATCGAGGTCTGGCCAGAGAGCATGAGAGACATCGATCAGGACATCCGCGACATGGTCAGCCTTCTTCCTGATGATGATGATTGGGAAGCAGCCATCCTCTCCTATTCGCCAGAAGCATCGCGACAAAACATAAGGGAGAAGTCGTCGCTGGACATCGAACAAGCAACAGCTCAACTTCCACCAATACGAGAAGATATTCAAGACAAGTCTATCGGATCGGATTCCAATGATCTCGATCTCACTGGAGAGCTCAGCAGACTTCTGGACCAAGGCAGCTCTGGCTTAGATCCCAGGGCTCAACCATCAGCATCCTCGGGACAGCCACCAGTTCCTGTACAACAAACGACACCTCTACCTCAGCCTGTACAACAAGCGATACCTCTACCTCAGCCTGTACAGCGAGCTGTGCCTCCGCCTGCACCAACACAACCAGCTGTACATCAGCCTCAACCTCATGCAGCGGTGCCTGTTCAGGACGACAGCTTCGACATGAGCAAGGCGCTGAGCGACATTTTGCCAGAGTTCCAGGACGTGGAGGTGGATCAGGCGATGCCTCTCGTACCGCCGGCTACTCCAGCGCAAGACAGGCCTACTCTACCAGAAGTTGACTCCAAGAGAGTCAAGACAGCTCCTCCTAGCACGATACCTGCAGCAAGCACGACAACTTCCTCGCCTGGCTTGGTTCCTTTACCGAGTGCGGCATCAACGTCGAGGCCGACCATCGAGCGCGAGCCGGTCACGAAGCGCGAGCACGACACAGTGGACCCCGGACAGTCGATTTCGATGGAGCAGCCTCCGACACGACCCTATGCCGGCACCTCGCCGACAACTCAGCCAGCGGCCTCGCCGACCGAGGAAGGACAGATCGAGCCTGAGGTCAAGGAGCTGGATCTTTCGGGTGAGTTGAGCAAGTTGTTGGAGCAAGATGTTTTTCAACCTGGTGTTGCAGCCGAACAATCAGCACCAGCGAGCTCACAGACATTGGTTCCTTCAGGCGATGACGGCGCTCCTCCTGGACCAGGTCTCAACTCGGAAGATTGGAATCATCTGCAGGACATGCCAGCGGAAGATGCTGTTCCCATCGAGTTGCCGGTGCACGTCGACATGCCAGAAAGCAACCACACGCCTATTCAAGATGCTGACCTGTACGCTCGACGAAACATGGCGACAAGTTGTTTGGATATCACGACAGAAGAAGAGACATATCTAAATGAAGTGCGTGAATCATACTTGTCCGACTCAATGACCATAGTGCTGGAACAACAACGGCAAGCCAACTTCTTTGCTGACAAGACCGGACAGCAGAATGGCTCGTCAACGTCAGATCTTCCCTGGACGCGCTCGCAATCAGCCTGGGTTCTTGCTGGACCATGGAAACGGAACCAGTGTTTTCTGTTCGACCTACACACGGGAGAAGCAGTTACCTACGCGGCTCAGGCGGACGGCAACCTTACCGAGCAGGAGATATACGAGAACTGGGACCTAGTCGAAGCGGCTGATCGAGCAGAGCTCACCGCTTTCGTGGGCCACTTTGTGTTCGCGTGCGCAGCGATCAAGAACTTGGACTCTCGGAACGTCATTGATGCAGTCTGGGTTCGGCGTTGGAAGCTCAATCCCAAGAAGCAAGTCTGGGAGGTGAAATCTCGATTATGTGGCCGTGGTTTTCTAGATTCCCAGAAACATCAGATACAACGGCATTCCAGTACAGCATCAAGGATCAGTCAAAAGTTGGTGGTGAGTATGGCACAGTGTCACGCTATGACAGATCTTGAAAGTTGGGATATCTCAACGGCATTTCTTCAAGGATTATCGACGAGTTGAGGAAGCGATCGAGAGAGTTGAAACTGTCGTGTACAACGGTCAGGAAAGTCTACCTCAACCCACCGGCGAACGTATGGCGACACTTGGCCAACATCGAGGGCAGCTCAGTGGTGGTACAGCCGGTTGACTACGGCCTCTTCCTCCTGGAGCTGCTCAAGCCCATGTATGGGCTGGTCGATGCGCCACATCTGTGGCAGATCGCACTCACACTGTTCCTCGTATCTACCCTGGAAGCTCGCATCAGTCTGTGGGATGACAACTTCGTGTACTGGACTGTGAAGGACATCGACATTCTACGACGACGGCATCCTCACAAGGCGCACGAATGCGGAGTATCGGGAAGCCTTCTGACAGCGATGACGGATAAGCTAGCGGCCTGCCTCACGATTCACGTGGACGATCTGCTCACTCAGTCGAAGACCCAGATCTTGAACTTTCTGAGGCAGCTCCTAGAGACAAAGTTTGGAGCAGTCAAGCGTCAGAACCTGCCCTTCACACACAATGGAGCTCAGTACTCTAGATTGGCAATCATCCAGCAGCTTGATCACTTGCGTAATATCAAGCCATGCGAGATCCCTGCTCTGAATGACGATCAACTTGTATCAGCACAATACGTACATGGTTTTCGAAGCATCCTCACCAGCATGCTATTCTTGTGTCAATGCAATGTTCACATCCTGACGGAAGTCACTCAGTTGCAGGGCTTCAACAATGAGCCGAGGGTGATGCACCT